AGGTTTACTGTCATTTCATACATGATATTATTAGGGGCGGAACCCCCCCTTTAGGTCAAGGGGTACAATTTGTTCCTGGGGCGTTGCCCCTTTGGATCTCGATATATCTACGAAGCGTACGACGATCAAGGATATGAACAAATAGAGGTCTTTATTGACCATTTTTTTTAAGTGAAAGGTCGAACCAAATTTGAGTCAATACCAACAGTTACTTATAAATTTGCCCCCCTAAAAATTAAGTTGGTTACGCCCTTGGATATTATACATTCCAAGAAGATTGTTGCTCATATTTCTAGCTTAGAACAAGTGGTGGATATCTTCACAAAAGCTTTGAATTCTTACATAATTCTGCTGCTTTGCTGATCATGCTGCATTAAGCTTCTGGAACTGAGCCTTGGCAGCCTCAAGTTTTTCTGGCAATATAAATGAAGATGTAAGAGAAAAATAAAGGTCAAGCCGGGAACTAAATAGTAAATGCGAGAATATATAAACACGTACTTCCTTCGAATGTTTTTGCATTCTCAATGCTTCTACGGAAATAAATATTGCCAATTTTTTGATATACAGCCTGTTATTATAAATCCAGAAATATAGAACAATATCATTTTTTCGAAATTCCTGAGACCAAATTCAGTATAATGGCAAACAAAAATGAGAAATTACTTGGGAGGCCGAGAGACTGTTCAACTCCCCGATCGCAATCTCGTGATTCCTCATCTGGATTTCAACCAAAACGAAAAAAAAAAAAATGGCTTCCGCCGTGAGAACAATTGAAATAATAGACAGAAATCCCTTGTAATTCTTTTATTTGTACTATAAAAAAAACTATCAAGGGAGAATTGGAGAAAATGAGGGTTTGAGGCCACAAAATCAATAGTTGACATAAGAACGATGAAATGCATCGGCTAGGGGCAGAAGTTATTGACCTCTCTGAGAACCTCTTTCCTAAGGTTTTCGTCGTCCGAAGTCAACAACGAGGAAGAAGAAGAAGCCATTATCGCCTTCGTGATACCTGATTCTGCCCTCTTCTACCCGTCGGCTGCAACAGAACAAAAGAAAACACAACTAGGGACGGATTTAGCGCTAGGGCTTTAAGATATTCAGATGAGGTCACTCCACAAACCATTTAGAGGTCTCAATAAATGGAATTTTTATTGCGTTCTCCCACCTAACGTAGAGATATGTCTAATGTCCTCCCACCTAACGTAGAGATATGTCCTCCCACCGCTAAAAAATTCGGTTTTTGCTCGGTATTGCTACGTATTATTTGATAATAACGAGGAATATCATCATATGAAGACCAATACCGAGTTATACCGAGCTATACCGAGCAATAAAAAAAATACCGAGTTTTTTCTAGGAAAAACTAGGTATTTTTTTGTATTGCTCGGTATTACTCGGTATAGCTCGGTATAATTCGGTATTGGTCTTCACATGATGATATTCCTCGTTATTGTTTGGTATTGCTCGGTATTTCTCTTTTTTTAGCGCAATTTTAGTTCTGGGAGGACGTATCTTTACGTCAGGTGGGAGGATGCAATAAAAATTCCAATAAATGATCCCGCAAATAACATTAAGGTAAGGAGAAATTATTAGGTGCGATCATCGGAGGTCATTTAGAGACGAATTAAGACGAGCCATCTCATCATTTATTATGTATTAGGGTGATGTGGTGGATCCTAATTCACTTCTGGATCGTATGGTGACCGCACATAATAATTTATTCAAATAAGAACCCCAAAGAAAATGAAAATTATTAAGTGCAGACACCAGACATAGAGATATGTCCGATCATCCACTTAAAATTTGACAAGTGGAGTGGACACGTTGGATTTATATTTTATTTTATATATTTAATGTATCAGTGGAACCCCAGGATAACGAAAAAATGATTTTTTTTCCTTAACGCTTGACATCTTTGAAAAGTTCTCTCAGCAAAGGCTGCTGATGGGGCTCAGGATAATCGAAGACGGTCGGATTATACCTCCGGTTAACGGGAGCAGGTTCGGGCGAGCCCATCTACCTCAGCTTGTTATGGAGAGACAAGACAAGCAAAAGCATCTTTAGGGCTGGCATTGACTAAAGCCTTAGCTCAACTAGAAAAAGCTCTCTACGTGAGCGCATCAAAAGCACAACCAAAGCGCAGGTAAAGTACAGATAAAACACAATAAAAGTGCAATAAAAAAGCTCAACAAAAAAACTGTCAAAACATAACTAAAGTGCAACTAAAACACAGTCAAAGTGCAGTAAACAAGCGCAATAAAAGAACAGTCAAAGCGCAACTAAAGTGCAGGTAAAACACATATAAAGCACACAAACAACACAACCAAAGTGCACTACATGTGCCAAATTTTAAGTAGATGTCCAGACGTATCTCTACGTCCATTCTCCGCACCTAATAATTTTCCCAAAGAAAAATTCAAAGCTCCCCTAACTTAAAAAGTATGATTAGTTTTTATCTTATATAAAATTTTTACCCAATTAAAATTTAGATTAATTTCAGGTTAATTAATAACTCAAAATTTATTTAAAATTGATCTGATTACTATTTAGGTTTGAAATAAATGGACTGGATTCGAGTTTGATGAGTGGGGTAGAGATAAACAATAAACATATAATATTTGAGTTAAATAAATTTCATTGCTCCAGAAAATATGCATGATCTTTACCATAAAATAATTTAAAAATATTATATTTAGATTTAAAGGTGTAAGTGAGCTTAGCAGACCTAAATTTGATTTGCTAATGAGCTCTCGCGAGTTTAAATTTATAAGTTACAAGTTGAGGCTGATATTTTTTATTATACAAGCTTGAGTGGGCTCAACCCATTGGCTCATATACTGGCTCAATTATAAATCTTAAGTCTAATTTTTTTCTTTGCTCTACCTTTCATTAAAGTTCGCAGCCAATTAGCGTACTCTTCTTCTCGAGCTCGAGTTTGAGTTAGGCATTGAATAGGTGGATCGAGCTCAAGTTGGTCTTGAGTCAAGCTTGACACTATGCCCCTAGTTTGATTTAAATTGGGCGGGTTCATGTCAAGTCAAGTTCAAGTTATGTTGACCCATATAATAAATGAGTTGAATTCGAGATGGATATTTAAATGGGTCAACTTCTAGTAAGACCCAATTTGATCCATCAACTTAAATTAATAACACAAACTATTTTGAGCCAGTCAAAATTTTATATAATATTATTTATCAATTTTATTATTTTATTAATAAATATTATTAATATTATTATTATTTATTGTTATTGATACATCACCAAAAATAGTCTTGTTCGGCATGAATATCCATGCATTTTTTAATTCAAAACTTTCAAAATTAAAATTGTGGTCATTTGAGCTCTGATTTCAACAAATTTACAGTCGAACTGAACATCTAGATGAGACGAATCCAACAAAATCCTAAATGGCCCAATTTGAGTCTAAAGAAGCCCAAATCATAGTCTAAATAGGTAGAAAAGTGCACTAATATGTAGGTGTTACATACAACCTCTGTCGACTAGCGACTACATTCCTTTACTCACCGACACTTGAATATGATAATATGACCTTTGTCGCCTGCTAACTACTGTCATTAGACTACTATTGCCTGACTATGATTTATAGGCCACTATCATCTGACTACTGTCCCTCCAACCACTTCAGCCCGACTATAATTCCTCTGACTACTATTGCATGAATAAAACCCTCTGACCTCTGTTAACTAATTACAATATATTGATCAATGTCACTTGAATATAATCCTACGATGATCATCCCCCAATTATGGTGCTCCAATCATCTTGTTATGGTCCTCTGAATTCTGTCACCTAACTACAATCATCTAGCCTCCATCACTCAACTATAGCCCACCGACCTAGAATGTTCTAATCATTATTGCATAACCACTCCAAAGTTCATTGATTTCATCAGGTACCATTGCTAACAATGCCAACATACGCTGTCACTTGTAAGAACGATAAATGACGTTGAAATCAACTCTAACTCATAACTTTAGCAGCTAGATATTTGATTGATTCCTGCCAAATGACTCTTTCAACTTCAACCAATTAATGCATTTTTTATAATTTATCATTGCCTTCCTCGAGAAAGGGCCTCACTTGAAATCAAATATGGATACTAGTGCAGTCATTTTAATTGTGTTACACCTCATGGGTTCTCTCTTTTATGATTTCCACATAAAAATTTTGATATCTCTTACAATGCTTGCACTTCTCTCTTCTCTGTGTCTGCTTGGTCTTCATGCAAAGCTAATACGTTAAACTCTCTATTTTTCTATTGTACTGCTATGAATGTTACAACACAACAATTATTATTATAAATTTATAAATAATAGAAATTTCTTTATGAAGTATTGAGCCAAGCCTATCCTTCAAATGATCAAATCTAAGCTAGCAGGACCTAAGAAGAGCATATGATGAACAATTATCCACTATGAATTTTTTCCTTAATAGAATAAACATTTTAACTATTTTATACACCTCTCAATAAAAACATTAGCCAAAATTTCTAATAAAAATATTCTTTTAGGGTGAGCAATTATTTTTTATTTCATCCCTCAAATTATGCTTATCTCAGTTTTATTGTCCACCCTAAAACAAAAAAAAGGCTTATTTTAAGTTCATTTTGAAGTTTTTTCAAGAGGAAGTTGCAAGTGGTTTCAATCCGGTCTCTTGATTGCAAGGCTTAAAATCCTTAAAAGTTAAAATTGCCATAGCATACTTTAATGATTTTAATTATCATTAGGATGCAAAACTATTCTGAATAATAAAAAACTTATATTATAAGATATTCTCTAATTGTTAAGCAAACCTCATGGATAATTACAAAAATCTACCAAGTTTGGGACTTCCATAGCAAGCTTTTTAAAGAAATAATCACGGGGGAATGATCTGGAGCAGTTCAATTGAGTTGAATTGTGAGCAAAGATTCAAAGGGATTGATCAAGCCGGAGGAAATAAGGATTCCAGTGAGCATTCAGCCAAGTAAGATTAGATGCATGAAATTTCTTATATGATAAATCACATTCCTTAATCATATCAACAAAATCTTTCATAACACATCTATTATTAGACATAACTGAGAAGAACAATGAAATGCCCCCAAGACAAGATAGGGGAGAGGGAAATTGAGAGAAAAGAGCAAAAATATATAAAGATTTGGACTTGTGCATTAGAGAATTCCCACTGAATGCAACTCAATTGAAAGATGATGCACTATTTATGATGAAAGAAAGGATAATAGATATCAACTATGGCTTCCTTTGGGACGGCCTTTTTATTGCTTTTCAAATCAATTTTTTAGTACGAATTTTTTTCTTTTTTACTAAAAAGCTGATTTAAAAAGAATTTAAAAAGTTGTCTCAAACGAAGCCTATGGCTGCCATAGGTATTTTGATATTATTTCATGCTCCTGCTTTTCATCAGTCTTCGTTCTTCATGAACTCACCTGCTGCAAAGGAAAAACACATCAATACAACTGTGATTGAAGATGATCAATCAGCATATTAATGACCAAAAGTTTATGATAAAACCAGCTAGTGATTACTCCAGAGATATGCAGCTGGATCCGGAGGAGCAGGAATTCTGGGATTGGCACCGAGAACTTGTGTAAGATGAACTTCCTGGGGGAGCAAATTATACTTGATTCCGAGGCTTTCGAAGATTTTCTTCAGCTCCAAGACGAGCTCTGATCTTCTACTGTTCCGTTCTGGAAAGTTTTGGTGATTCATTGTGTGCAGAACGTTGAGGGACATCTTCATCTTGTTCACATTCTCAATCTCTTTCACTAAAACTGTGTGCTTTGGATTCCAGTGCTTTGGCTTGCTTTCCAAATACCTACAAAAGTTGGCATCATAAGACATCAAACTCTTAAATTCTGCAACTACGTAAATATTTTGCTAAAATAAGGAGAAAAATTGCAGAAAATTAACTTCTAAACAACAACTAGTACTCTCTCACAAAATAGAAAGAAGTATTTTGTTGCTTAGAAGAAGTGTCTAAGTTATATTCAAGGTTAAATTTAACAGAAGAAGTCCCAAGGCAAGTTTTTCCCCAGGGTACAGAAAACAGAGGTAAGTAAGCTTACGCCTGAATTGCCTTTCTCAAAGCAGCAATAGTGTCAACGGGAGTGTAAACATCAATATGGAATTCTATCGTATCAAACATATGTGGGCTTCGGTAGAAGTTACTGATAGGCTTTGTGAGCAGCACTGCATTCGGGTAATAAATCTTCTCATTATCATGGCGAAGGAAGACTGTGGTCAGAATGTTCATTTCTTCAACGATCATCTGCAGTAAATCAAGTTTACAATTTTCTGTTTATGATTTGATGATATAAAGTTATTTTCCAATAAAAAAAGATATTTATATGTTGCAGAAAACAGAGTGACGGAAGGAGAAAGAAAACCCGAAAGAAAACTATTATTCAAAATTTTCGAATTTACAATGATCCCTACCTTGCCTTGTATAGAAAAGAGACAAAAGCTGGAAAATAGCTAAAGCCTAAAGCCAAAAACAAGTTTTAGATACCTACGTGATGCAGATAGAAATAACAGAGGAAAACATTATGGGGGTGTTTGATATTGGATTTGTGCATCATTTTTAGTAGGATTTAGCGTAATCTAGCCAAATGCAATCCGCGCCGCTTTAAATCCAACAAATCCAGGATTTACGGATTTACGGCATAAATCCGGTAAATCCGTCTAAATCCTAATCCCATTCCTATTCGGATTTAATGCCACTTACCGTTGAGGAACTTCTTCCCGCGGCGCCCGTGTCGCGATCTGTTGCCAAACAACTTTTTTGGATTTAACAGGATTTAAAATTTGTCATACCAAACACTTTTCAAAATTTATGAGCCTAGGAATTACTAAATCCGGATTTAACAGGATCGTCTTTCTTGAAATTTATGTCGTTATTGGAGTTGTGGTTCTTCATTGTATTGAAGCTATTGTTCTTGACACTGAGAGCCATTTCACTCTTGATTCATCCATCAAAGTACTACTGCCCAACAGTTCTTTGATTATCCTCTTGCGAGATCAATGAGAATACCTGATTGATGGAGGGTAAAGGATCAATCAGGAGAATATGTTAGCGCACTTGGAAAGAAAGAGTCATTGACGCCCATAAGAAATGACATAGTTACTCCATCTGGCGATGTGCGGTCAGCTGCTTAATGCCGCCATTGGTGCAGTTCCTCCAGGAGCTTATTATTTGTAAATCACATAGTCCTACTAATAGGATTTTTAGTTTTGTGAAGAACATACCGACAAAGATGAACGCACAAAATACACTAATAATTTTATACATGCTCAACCAGTTGATGCTATCACTGCCCCTGATCTTATGATTTCAATTATGGAGTTTTTTACAACCATAATCTCAACGCATATCACTTAATCTTCCTTTGGTTCTTTCTCTTCATTTGTAAAAGATAGTTTTATAAACAATGGTTAAGAAAATAAAGTTTTCGAACGTATAAGCAGTTATTAAAAAGCTTCTCAAAACAGTAGAAAAAATTAAGTTCCCTAAAAAGCATTTCTATAGAAATGTCTCATTCAAACACCGGCCAAAAAATAATTTCTCTGTCTAGAAACAGAAAAAGCAAAAAAGTGCAAAAACAAACAAGGCCTTAAATAAAGCAGCACCTCTGTTGCATAAAATTACTCGCAAATAGTGTAGTAGTTGATCTGCAATTATGTCCTACGTAAGATTAAATGTTCCACACAAAGTTTAATATTCACTAAAAAGAGAAACTCTTTTAATTCGTGTTACAAGGCAGTGTTCCAGCAAAGTCCAAAATGCCAGAACTGCGATTAAGTGTTCAATTATCAAATAAGTTCAACTGAAATTAGACACATAAGATATATAGCTACAAGCTCACAAATGATACATCGATATTTATAAAAAAATCACTACTTGAAGAAATCGATTTGATTGTAAATGAATTACTGGTATCTAACCTGGACACCATCGATGACACAGCGATCGCCAACATCAAAAGGATGCATGACAAAAACAAAGACTATTGATTCAAATAGAGTCTTTCCAGTGCTTTGGAATAAAAATCCCAGTAGTAGAAGCTGAGAAGTGATTGCTACAAAAACTTTCGTTGTTGCAACCCCCGTTACCAGAAGTGATACCACAAAAATTATCACACTCACAACCACACTGGCAAGCTTATGCAGCTGTTGCACTGCCGTCTTAGTGTCATTCAAGGAATGGGCAAGTGATTTTCTCTCTCTGTAAGCTCTTACCTGCATATAATTAGTTGCGGAAAATCTCAACTAATGAACTGAACTTGGAAGAGGTCAACTTAATATTTAACATTTAGGCTTCGTTTGAGACAGCTAGGGGTGTCAATATTTAATCTGACCCTAGAACCCGACCCGAAAATTTCAGGTTTGGTTTGACCCGAACCCAAAATGGGTTGGGTTCAGGTTCAACAATTCAACCTGTTTCAAAAAGCGGGTCGGGTTCGGGTTGACCCGCTGATCCATTGACCCAAAATTGACCCGTTGAACCAAATTTGGTCCGTTTTTTACCCGAAAACCCATGTTGACCTTTTTTTTACCCGTTTTGCACCCGAAAACTAGCAATTTTTTATTGGCACTAGGTCATTCGGGTCGGGTCAAGTTGGGTTGACCCGGACCCGAAGCGGGTCTGGTTCGGGTCCAGAAAACCCCTTGGGTTCGGGTTGACCAGAATAGTGTTGGGTTAGTTTTGGGTTCGACCCAAACCCGACCCGTGATCCGAAATTGACACCCCTAGAGACAGCTGTCTTATTGCTTCTTAAAAAAGTTTTATAGTATAAAAATTTTATTTTTTATATTAAAAAGTTGTTTTAAGAAGCAGTAATAAAGCAATCCCAAACGAAGCCTTAATCTATATGTTTCTCTTCAACATACAAAGTATTAACCTACATGATGAGAAGTTGGTTTTATAAACTGATTTTTTTGGGGTAAATTATTAGTATAAAAATATTAAAAAGACTAATTAAAGTTTGATATGGAAGAAATAAAAGCCATGAATCTAAATGAAGGATCATGTGCTGACCACCCAATTCCGAAATGCAGATTTCTTAATCCTTCCAGTATCAAGGGCGCCTTCAAACATTGGAAAGATGGTCTGTACCTCCTCTTCCGTCAAGAATCTCCTCAAATCATCCTCATATATATACCTGTATCACTCATCCATGCTTCCAGTCAAGCAGTATTACAAACTAATTGGACTTATATTTCCTTATCATAAATCAAATAATATGGTCCGTGACGAAAAATGAAAAATAAAAATAAAAAGATTGGTATGAGAGCATGAAAAACTTCACAAACTTAGACTTATATTTATATTTTCATGTTGAACTCAAAAGTATTTTGTTTTAGCAACTAGCTACCACTAATTTTAAATACAACCATAGAGACAAAATTTTTCATTGCCCTATAAAAAGGTGACGTTATTAAGGCTATCACACAACAATTAAGTTTATGAAGTATGAGCTAAACGGTCTATCGATAGATGAAGCTAAAAATGGTGTAGAAATGATGCAAGACAAATATAATGCAAAGTTAGCATTAAATAAGCGTCTTAGATATTAAAAATGATTCATATTATAAGATAAACAAACCATTTGCTTCCTTTTTAGTCTTTGTATATTTTAGGGAAGTAACTGAACCTTTACTATATAAGAACTCTTGTACTAGTTAGATGGACAAGTATGCGGTAGCTAGGGGACGGCATGAACACACAAATTGTGGAGACATGTTTTTACATGCATGAAAATATGGAACTAGCATGCAGCACAGCTGTGCTGTACTGGTAAGTGCAGTGATGAGGGAGCGCTGCAACAACAGGAACCACCGCCACAACACTGAAAGTTCTATTCTACAGTAACTTTGGGATCGACATGCATCACAACATTGTTGGGTAGTTGGGCGCCGTGGTGCTAGGCATTGAATCAACTTTTTAAAATATTTAATAGTAAATATCCCTCACCACCATTCCTCAAGAATTAAGATCAAGATTGAGAGTAATAAGGAGTTTAAGATGTCAAAGAACAAGAGTGACAACTCTTCAAGAAAACAACCTGAATATTAAATAAAAGATTAATATATTAAAATAAATATAGTACAAGTAACATTACTAAAAAATACCACCCAAGCCAGAACTCTTTATTTGTTTAATATATTTGCTCATACATGTATACCTACACTATTACATATATGATATTAATTTCAAGATTAAGATATAGATGTGATTAAGACAATGACAATATACTACTATTGAATCTGCATTTGTAGATTCTAAAAGATATAACTGCATAAATTATAATACCTTTCATTATTATGGATTTCTAATAGTTGCATAGATATTTGACTTTAATAATTGATACGATCACATTACTGATTATATCTCCTTACTGGTTTGATAATGATGCATAAGTGATTTTTATGATTTACAATTTTACTATTATAATTTGAATGACTACATATTATTCTAACATCCGCAGTAGTATTGTTAACTTCCAATTATCATATTTATTGTTTTGTAAAAAATTATGATCATATTGAATGCTATTGTTATGATTTAAATGACTACATGCATATTGCCTTTTTTCGTATTTAGAGTACAATTGTAGATTTTCGTCACCTGTTGGGATTTGTAGCTCATTATGTAGATTTAATTAATTTTAGGTCGAGCAAGGATCCATTGTTTTGAGATTGATCAGAGTATGGACCTAGAATATACGCATCAGTAGACATAAGATTTTCATTTTAGCATTGCACGGATATCCAGCACACAGAGAACTAAAAAACACGAGGGTTTTATTAGAGCAATAGGATTAAAATAACTATTTGTATTTCTGTATTGCCGTGTATACAACCCACTATTGTAAATCTATAAATAGATACCTGTACCGCGTTAAGAGTTAATGAAAAACATATTTTCTGTTTCTAAAATTCTGTGTATGCTCTGCTCTATCTTTTCTCTTTCTTTTCTTTTCTCTGTCACAGTTCAAGAAATATTATCTTGAACTTCTACATGGTATCAGACGGGGCTTTCTGATCCCGGGAAAACAATGGCGTCTTCTTCTACTTCCCAGACAGCCGGCGACATGACGACTCTATCGTCCTCAACTCCGGCCATCTCCTCTTCTCTTAAGTTTGTTCTCTCCAATCTTAAAAATATAGTTCAAAGTCCTCTCTCGGCGGACAATTACCACCTATGGCAGTCTCAGATCATGAAGATTTGCCGAGCAAATGGATTTTCTACATTTCTTGACAGCTCTATTCCGATTCCTGAAGCATCTATCGCCTCTCAGGATGGCACAACCTCTAAGAATCCGGAATATGAGCAATGGCTTCTTACCGATCAAAATTTATCGGCGGCTATATGCTCAACGATCTCAGCAGCTGTTCTTCCTTATGTTTTACATCTTGAATCTACCTCCGAAATTTGGCAGACACTTGAAACTCGATTTCAAGCTACAAACCGCTCTAAAGTGATCCAACTCAAGAACGAAATCTATCATGTTTCCCTCAAGAATTCTACCATGATGCAATACTTGAATGAGGTAAAAGTTCTCGTAGATCACATTGCGGCAGCGGGTACTCAACTTGATCCTGAAGAAATCATTATTCATATCATTAATGGGCTTCCTCCGGCTTACCAGTCCTTCAAGACTTACATCTGCATGATGACTAACCCGCTTAGCCTCGATCAGTTATATTCTCTGCTAATAAGCGAGGAAATTCATATCGCCGCTGACAATGTCCGCTTTGCTTCCATGACGGATCAATCTCATGCTCTGTTCGTTAACAGAGGTCGTGGTCGGCGTTCCAGAACTCGTCCACCAGCCAACTCCAATCCACCATCTGAAACTCCATCCGCGACCGTAATACAGTGCCAGATTTGTCTCAAGAAAGGACACATGGCGATGGATTGCTGGCACCGATCTAACCTCCAATACATTCCAAGATCGGCCAAACAGCCAGCCAAAGCACTGCTTGCGGATTCCAATCAATCTCATACGGATTGGTACTTAGACTCAGGCGCATCCGCGCATATGACTCGATCACTTGACAATTTGTCCATCTCCACTCCTTACCAGGGTTCGGATGGAATAGTCATTGGATGACGGGAGTTCGGTTAATATTGCAAACTCCGGTCGAGGTTTGCTACCGACTCCCTCTCGTAAGCTCAATCTATCTCATATTCTTCATACACATGAACTTCAATACAACTTGTTATCTATTTCTCAACTAACTAAGGATAATAACATTTCCATAACTTTTGATCCTAGTGGTTTTGTCTTTAAGGATATGCAGACCAATCAAGAACTCCTTCGGGGACCATGTCGTGACGGACTCTATCCGTTACGGGCTCCGGCGGGCTCTGGACGACCTACGGCACTTCACACCTCTCTCAAGACTTCGGCTCTGTGGCATCAAAGATTGGGTCATCCCAATCAAAGAACACTTACTTCTATTTCTTCTTGTAATAAACATTTGAAAATTGACATCAACACTTATACTTGTCATCCCTGTAATAAATCTAAGACTCATAGGCTTGGTTTTGATCATACTGCTATTAGACAAACTTCTATTCTTGCACTCATTCACTCAGATGTTTGGGGGCCGGCTCCCGTTGCTTCTAACTCTGGTTATTTGTATTATGTTATATTTGTAGATGATTACTCCAGATTTACGTGGTTTTATCCAATGCGACGTAAATCTGAAGTAATACATATTTTTACTGATTTCCTTAGACATATTGAAAATGCCACTTCTCAACAAATTAAATGTATTCGCACTGATGGTGGCGGCGAATATTCCAGTTCGGCTTTCTTGCAACTTCTCAATCAACATGGAATATCGCATTAGACATCATGCCCATATACGCCTGAACAAAATGGCGTCGCCGAAAGAAAACACAGACATATCATTGAAACTACTCGGGCAATGTTGAATACGGCTCACGTTCCGCTCACCTACTGGCCCGATACTATGCTCACTGCTACATATCTTATAAACTATATGCCTTCACCTAATACTAACCAAATCTCACCAATAGAACTTTTCTTTCACAGGACACCGGACTATAAAGATTTTTGGGTTTTTGGCTGCGCCTGTTTTCCCTATATTTCGACTCAACTTCGCAACAAACTTCAACCAAAAGCTAATCTTTGCGTGTTTATAGGCTACTCGCTCAAATCTAAGGGGTACAAGTGTTTAGATCCAAACACTAACAAAATTACAATATCTCGTAACGTTACTTTCGATGAACACTATTTTCCCTTTGCTATGACCGAACTAACCAATAACGCTTCTCAGCAAGAACTATCTCCGTTCCTTCTAACTCCCTTCTCCACTATTCAATCCGCTAAACATATACCATTCAAATGTGCTACGAATTCGTTGCCAAATCATCAGCAAGGACCAACATCAAATTCATCTGAGACGGTTTCTGTTACTTCTTCTATACCAACAAGCACTGAACAACCCACCGCACACCCACAACCTGCTGGTCATCCCATGCAAACAAGAAGGAAAACGGGATCGCTTAAACCTCGGATTCGTCTCAACCTACTACATCAAACCACAGCTTCATCTGTGGATCACGTTCCGACATCTTTTCATGAAGCCAATAAACACAAAGAGTGGTGTGACGCTATGTCGTCAGAATTCTTTGCTCTACAAACGCAAGGTACATAGAGTCTTGTTCCTCTGACAAAACGATACTAGGCTGCAGATGGACGTATAGGACCAAACTTCATGCCGACGGATCAATTGCTCGCTACAAAGCACGCCTGGTCGCTCAAGGTCACAACCAAGAATTCGGACTCGACTACAACGAAACATTTAGTCCCGTGGCTAAATTACCCACAATCCGGATCATGCTCACCGTCGCTCTTCATCAAAACTGGAAGGTCCATCAACTCAACGTAGCAAATGCCTTCTTGCACGGACAGCTTACAGAAACAGTATATATGCATCAACCGATCGGATTCATTGATACCACTCTTCCCGATCATGTTTGCTTGCTTCAAAAAGCAATCTATGGCTTGAAACAAGCACCGCGCCAATGGTTCAATACGTTCACTTCGCATCTTGAATCGATAGGCTTTACTTCAAGTACTTCCGATCCATCATTTTTTATATTTCATAAAAATCACACTCAGTTATTTTTATTAATTTATGTTGATGATATATT